CATCTGACTCAGTAGAACAACATCTCCCGCTTTGATGAATAATAATCAAAGAGCAGAATCATGTTCCCCAACCTTTCTCTCCACCATTGACAAGCTCAGACGCTTGAGAGTACATTAAGATCACATCAATCAAGAATCACATTCACCCATTTGTGATGGACAGTAATTTCAATGTCACTAATTGATTCTGCAAACCACAACATTAAAATCATCCAGTAGTTTCCAAAATGGTTAATAAAATATTGAACAGGCCGACCTTTATCTTTTCATTGAGACGAAACTTTCAAACTAATCGTATTAAAACAATTTAACATGGCCATAAGAGAATTGCTTGCAGGTTTTTTTGCCTTATATTATGGATTTGAGAGAATCTGTTTTATGGGATTCGTTTCAACGGAAAACTGATTCATAATTAGGGAATCAGTGTTCCTGAATCATTCAATTTGGTGTTTTTCTCCACATGGCTGAACTCTAGGAAATTAATTTCGCAAGTCACTGTGATTAACCTGACCACCCAGAGGGGATTTTCCCTTGTCTGTGCAAGGCTATAAACTTGATAAACACTGGTTGAAGGGGGAAGCCACTCTGACATTTTACTGCAACAAGCTGATCTTCAGACATGTCGGAGTGTGCCCTGCCAGAGATGTGCTGTGGTGTTCAGTACAGATTGCAATCACTTCCAAGAACCCTGTTATCTGTGGTAAGAGGAGGGCGTAATGATCAAAAGTGGTGAGACGTAAACCACATTGCAATTCAGAAATACTATCTGATATACCCTGCTGTGTGTCACATTTTATATCTCATGTTTAGTCCAGGCAGGTGGGGGCGGTGGGGTAGCCTAGTAGTTAAAGCGTTCACTTGTCACCCTGAGGACCCGGGTTCGATTTCGCACATGGGCACAATGTGTGAAGCCCATTTCTGGTGTCCCACGCCGTGATATTGCTGGAATATTGCTAAAAGTGGCATAAAACCATACCTACTCACTCACTTCAGACAGGTAAGATGGGAACGATGGATTAGAAAAAAATACCTGTTATGTTGGAATAATGATTGTTGGTCTGCTGTTTAATGTCACACTCAGCAATATTCCAGTTATATGAAGGAGGCATCAAACCGTCAATAATCCTGTGACTGATATCAGAAACAATGATCGACTCCGTCATGGTACAATGGCATGAGGTAAGGTGAGGTGAAATTGGGTTTAACGTCGTGCTTGAGAATATTTCGCTCATATGATGACGTGCATGCGTGTGTATGTGTATGTGTGGCTGCTTGTACTAGCCCAGACTTAAGCTGGTTTTATAGTGCTAGCCCACTGAGATACCATGCCGCAGTGAAGCATGAATACCCCACTCAGACACATTATACTGACTCCGACCAGTCCTTGTTGTACCCATTAATGCCGAGCGCCAGGCAGGGACCAACAAGTACCATATTTTAACGTCTTTTGGTATGACACGGTCGGGGATCGAACCCGCGACCTTCCGCTCTCCGGGCGGATGCTCTAACCACTACACCACGGAGGCAGTCCACAATGGCATGAACACCCAATCTACTTGGCCGGTGAACAGTTGAGTCTGGACCTATTCTTGATGGGCATACCTACTGAGGATTCATTATCAATTTGAGAAGATACTGCATGTGTTTGAATGTTATGGGTTGAAATATTTTGAAGGATTCAGGAAGGTATAATTTATTTCGTAAAGTTGAGAAAACCTTAAAACAATAACTGATTTATAATTAAATATACAAAACCAGCCAGTTGTTGGCAAAAAATAAATGAATCACAAACTAACACTCAAATTTAAAGGATTCAAAATGTCCCCCAAGGTGTGAGTGAATGTTGTAACAAGCACGAATCCAGCTAACTCAAGGTAGCCTGTTGAAAATGTACTTGTCCCACAATTATTTTTCCAGTTAAACTGTAATCGTTATCATATTCGCAGTTGTTAAGATTAAATCAAGACTGAACTTTACAGTTGAAAACACAGCCAAAACCTCAAAGCCTCCCAGTATTTATTAATCAAAGGAAATAGAGCAACATGGATTTCCACTTCAGCTTCTATGGCAAGCATTCATCTACAGCTACAACAACGTCACCTCACAAGAAATTACAGCACTGCCATTACTGCTTTTCATACAGGATCAAAAGAATGGCTGACCCAAGCCAATGAAGTTCCCGTCACATCAAACACGCTGGCCCTCGAGACAAATGCTAGTTCAATCAGGTGCAGGCAGTGATGTATGTCCTTGTGTATAATGCACACCCATTTCTGGGTACAACTTTCGGGAACTATTTGTTTACTGTTTAATGCTGGACTCAGCGATACTTCACCTATATGGCGTCAGTCTGTAAATAATTGAGTCTGGACCAGACAATCCAGTGATTATTATCATGAGCATCGATCTACGCAATTGGGATACAATGACATGTGTCAACCAAGTCAGTAAGCCTGACCACCCGATCCTGTTAGTCACCTCTTATGACAAGCATGGGTTGCTGAAAACAAATCCTGACCCGGATCTTCACGGGTCATTCACAGTCAAAATCTACATTGTTACACTTTAGGTGAAAGAACAGGAAAGAGTCAACTTTGTCAAGATTAAGACTATTGTTTATAATTGATTCTTCAAACAGGCAAGAAACGACAGCAGTCGTACATAAATTCTCACAAAGATTCAGTTTAAAAATATCCCATAATAGAATATTAATGCAAATGATCAGTGGAAATTTTTATCTATACTACTTTTTTAATACTTTATTTGAATATCTGTTCTTTCAGTTCTCATTTAAATTATATATTATTAAAATATAAATATACTTAGGCGAAACACTTTTGTCTGCATTTTTTAAGAATGGGATTGTTTGAGTTACCAGTTGAGGCTTTCTGTGGACTTGCTAATATGTAAGCATAAACTATGTTGAGATATATTCAAACAACAAAAAATAACGACTTTTTACACAAGTCAAAGAACATAGGTCATCTGTGATATATGTCTCTGTTAATTTTGTTTATTTTCAAGGTGTTGCCAGCAGTAATCTGATTGGTTGCTGTAAATAAGGATCAGTACAACTTGCCAATCTGTTCGCACATGATTTTGCTGAAATTAATGATAATTTTATTGAAACATCGGGCATCCTTGTGTACTGTCCACTTATATTAACTTGCCTAACCCTTGTACTGTCCACTTATATCAACGTGCCTAATCCTTATACTGTCCACTTATATCAACTTGCCTAATCCTTGTACTGTCCACTTATATCAACTTGCCTAATCCTTGTACTGTCCACTTATATTAACGTGCCTAATCCTTATACTGTCCACTTGTATTAACTTGCCTAATCCTTGTACTGTCCACTTGTATTAACTTGCCTAATCCTTGTACTGTCCACTTGTATTAACTTGCCTAATCCTTGTACTGTCCACTTATATTAACGTGTCTAATCCTTGTACTGTCCACTTGTATTAACTTGCCTAATCCTTATACTGTCCACTTGTATTAACTTGCTAATCCTTACTGTCCACTTGTACTGTCCACTTGTATTAACTTGCCTAATCCTTGTACTGTCCACTTATATTAACGTGCCTAATCCTTATACTGTCCACTTGTATTAACTTGCCTAATCCTTATGCTGTCCACTTGTATTAACTTGCCTAATCCTTGTACTGTCCACTTGTATTAACTTGCCTAATCCTTGTACTGTCCACTTATATTAACGTGCCTAATCCTTATACTGTCCACTTATATTAACGTGCCTAATCCTTGTACTGTCCACTTGTATTAACTTGCCTAATCTTCATACTGTCCACTTATATTAACTTGCCTAATCCTTGTACTGTCCACTCATATCAACTTGCCTAATCCTTGTACTGTCCACTTACAGTAACTTGTCTAATACAAGGACAGTGAATGAGTTCAGTTTTATGCCACTTTAATCTATATTCCAGCAATATCACTGGGGGGCACAGCAGAAATGGGCGTCACACATTGTACCCACTTCGGTCTACGGCAAGATGAGCGAACGCTTTAACCACTAGACTACCCCACGACCCGATATAAGGACAGATCTACAAAACATCCTTCAAGTTTTCATTCAGTACACCCTTGGAGCAAGGCTCAACTATTGAAAGTTTACAGAAACCTTTCTGACTGATATTTAAATAGATCTTCAAATTGCATGTTACACAGTACATTCTCCCATAATCAGCTTACAGTATGTTAAGCTGTAACATGTCTCATTTCAACTGAACTGCAATGGATTTTATTGTGCATGTGTTCTGGAATAGGAATGTTTTGTCGGACTCTACTGCACTAACTTCCTCACATGCGATTTGTCAAGCAGCAGAATGGAGTTGCCTCCCATGTGGACACTAAAATAAATATTATTTACAAGACTTTCGTATAGGCTGTCCATTCCAAATATAGGGCTTGAAATAATGAGGTTCGACTATGTGCACAAATGTTGAGCAAACCTTTTGATTTTGTCTGTGTCAGTATTTGCATATACTATTTTGACATTTATTTCTTAGGCATCCTTAATAAAGGATGCTCTGGTCCTCTCAGTTTTGTCCTGGTGAATTACACCTACAAATATCCATCCTGCTCAACTTTTGATTGGGATAAGCAGACATGTCATTCTTTTCAAATACTCACCTGAAGTACTATGAAAATCTACCTGTGAAGATCTGGGTTAGAATTGGTCTTCAGCAACCAATGCTTGTCGTAAGAGGCAACTAACGGGATCAGGTGGTCAAGCTCGCTGACTTGGTTGACACATTTTAACATATCCCAATTGCGTAGATCGATGCTCATGCCGTTGATCATAGGTTTTTCTGGTCCTGACTCGATTATTTACAGATCGCTGCCATAGCTGGAATATTGCTGAGTGCAGCATTAAACAGCAAACCAACCAACCACTAAAATCAGTTTTGTGTAGAATGGAAGGATAAAATTATCCCTATCAATATGGAGTTGAATACATCAAAGCACATACTCACCATAGCTAAAGAAGAAGTGCCGGTAGTAATATGCTCCGTAATCCACATATTCAATCACATGACCTTTATGAGAGATAAGGGGAGGTAACACATGTCCAGAAGGTGCAGGCGAAGAGTCCAAAACGGCCACCCCGCAACACGCAGGATGTCGATACCAAGACATTGCACTATGAATATGATTACTGCTGTTACTGCTGCTGGCCCCCTGAACACGCTTCTGGGCAGTCAGCTTTGTCAAACTCACAATCCTCTCCTCCTCACCACCGATCTCATTCCGGAAGAACGGGCACGACAATACAAGCTCATTGCTCTTGCCGTCCCCTTCATCGGTCCCAGCAATGATGTCTGGATCGTCCTTGTCTCCTGCGTAACTGTTCCTGTTGAAGGAGGCAGCAGAAGCACCTGTTGCAGTGTTTTTCATAATCCCTGAATGATTCTTGTTCTTTATATCGCTCAAATTCACACCAACACTCTGACAATCAAAGTGTGCAAGAGCTTTCCGCCTATACCGTTCCTCGGCCCTACCATCATCAGGAAAGCTATAGTCTGTTTTCCCCGTGACATCAGCATCAGGCTTTCCGCCAAACACTTTCTTCAGAATGCCAGGATTACCATCAGTTATTGACTTAGCACGTGCTTTCCTATCCTTGAATTTTGATTTATTTTTCCCTTTGGGACTATCACTAATTTCCTCTGACTCTTTGTCCATCATTGCAGCACCATTAAGAAAGCGTCCTTTGGCATCAGCCTTGCCACGAAGCACTTCCTGCAACTGTGGCGGAGCAGGACTTCTCTGATCTGGGTTTTCATTCTGGTAGCCCCTCAACATTGCAAAGAAGTTTTCAGTGCTAGTCCCTAGCTGATCTAGGGAGGAGGTGCTACCATACTCCCGATGAATTGCTGCGGGTGGAAGGCCCTCCTCCACAACTTCAACTGTGTCCATCTCAAGGTTACTATTGCTTCGGTATAAACCACGACTAGTCCTTCGAGATGAGGAGGATTTCTCTACAGGTTTTGGGGGAACTGAGGGTTTTGACGGTGTTTTGGTTTTATCTATGCTAAAATTTTGCGTTCTTGTTCTGTTTGTATGACCATGAGGGCCATGGAACGTCCTTGCTCGACTTCTACCTGTTCCTATCCGCTCACTCATGGAGCTGCGCATGTCGATAATTCCCGCTTTCATTTGAGCACGATAGAAATTATTAGATGAGGCAGGTTCAATCCCTGAATTCAAGGCATCCTCTGTTGAGGAGTGTGCATATCCTTCAAGATAATCCTTACGGTCAATGTTAGAATGGCTGCCGGAGTAACCTCCTGATCGACTGACACTTTTACCAGAGTATGTTGGTGCCACCTGTTGTTGGTAGTACTCCACTGCTTGCATAGCTCGCTCTCGGACAGTGTCAAGATCAGGTTTGTTTTGAAACGGCTGGTTTTTTGTAGCCATAATCTTGACTAGCGTGAAGAATTACACTTATGCTTGCCCAAACATGCCAAGTGATCTTCTTCCATCATGAACACCAAAAACAATCCTTGTTTAAAAATGTAACTGTTCAGAAGGAGAACCCTTCCAGCACCTATTTACATATATTGTTATCCATGCTTGCGAAGAGGTTGTCACACAATAGTACCATGATGCATTGCAAGCAGAATCATTATCCATTAGAGTTCACATTTTGTAGAATTATGATTCATCTCCGCACAGAAGCAGACGACACACAAGCTTCCATTTCCTATTGGTGCTTGACCAGCTCTCATTGCCAGAGTGGGGTCACACAATAGTAGCCAACAGTTTCCTGGCCTGTGTTCAGAGGGACCCAGCCATCTTCCTCCAACCATTCCCTTCAGCAAGATAAGGTCCCACAGACTTCACCTGCAACAGTTAGCAGATTAAATACATCAGAAGTGTTTCCTGTCAGAGCAGCTCTCACTAGTGGCGACTGACACACTACATTCAGACCACTTCAAATAGACATGGCCCTAATAGTTATTTAATTGCTTCTATATATAAAGTATGGAGCCAATTAATAGACGCTGCGTCAGAAATGAGATTACCACTAATGAAATTTCATGAAGGCAACATCATGGGATGAGTCTGTGACGTTATTAGCGTTTCTGTTTGGGATGTATCCAGGATGAGCAATAACATAAACAAGATGATTTTCTGCACAATTTATTATATACTGCAGTTATTACATGTTGGTAGAAACAACAATTACAATTTCAAAATGTTTTCCTACACAACTTATTGTATATTGCAGTTATTGTAATTGTTGTTTCTACCAACAAGTAATTTCAAAATGGTTTTCTACACAATTTATTATATACTGCAGTTATTACTTGTTGGTAGAAACAACAATTACAATTTCAAAATGGTTTTCTAAACAATTTATTGTATACTGCAGTTATTACTTGTTGGTAGAAACAACAATTACAATTTCAAAATGGTTTTCTACACAACTTATTGTATACTGAAGTTATTACTTGTTGGTAGAAACAACAATTACAATTTCAAAATGATTTTCTACACAATTTATTATATACTGCAGTCATTACTTATTGGTAGAAACAACAATTACAATTTCAAAATGGTTTCCTACACAATTTATTGTATACTGCAGTTATTACTTGTTGGTAGCAACAACAATTACAATTTCAAAATGGTTTTCTACACAATTTATTGTATACTGAAGTTATAACTTGTTGGTAGAAACAACAATTACAATTTCAAAATGGTTTTCTACACAATTTATTGTATACTGCAGTTATTACTTGTTGGTAGAAACAACAATTACAATTTCAAAATGGTTTTCTACACAACTTATTGTATACTGCAGTTATTACTTGTTGGTAGAAACAACAATTACAATTTCAAAATGGTTTTCTACACAATTTATTGTATACTGCAGTTATTACATGTTGGTAGAAACAACAATTACAATTTCAAAATGGTTTTCTACACAAATTATTGTATATTGCAGTTATTACTTGTTTGTAGAAACAACAATTACAATTTCAAAATGGTTTTCTAAACAACGTATTGTATATTGCAGTTATTACTTGTAGGTAGAAACAACAATTACAATTTCAAAATGGTTTTCTACACAATTTATTGTATATTGAAGTTATTACTTGTTGGTAGAAACAACAATTATAATCCCAAAATGTTTTTCTACACAACTTATTGTATATAACAGTTATCACATAGTAGATGACACAGTAACACATATTATGTTATCCAAGATGGTTTGTGCACAACATCTTGTCTACAGCAGTTATCACATAGGGACTGTACTATACTTGTTATTTATACCAAACACAATGATGTTTTCAACACTTCCATATTAATGAGCTTCAGATTTTAGTGTTTGTTGTTAGATACCAAAAATAAAAAAAACCATATGAGCAATTGTCAAGTGGATAGGATTTGGTGCATTATAAATGTACACATAGAAATTAGTATTAAAACAAAGATGGCTTTTTCTCTCAGTTCATTAAATACTAAACTGTGCCTGGAGAATATATCATTGAAAGCAATAAAAGTTATCATTAATTCAAACAAATACAAACTATATATGCTAGGGGTGACTACATGTTTACAAGAAGAACAAATATTAATTTGACTCCTAAAACATTTATACAGGTAATACAAACCTTATGCAAGTCAAGGAAAAAGAAAGAGTTTCATGTTTGAAATAAACTGTTCATGAAAGCAGGATTATAAGACATCTGAGCTTAATACAATGACATAACACCAGAAGCTAGAAGATGGGTGAAGTGGTTTTAGAGTTAACATGGACACAATCTGCACAAATAACACCATAAGTGTTTGTCAGTTGATAATGCAGAACTGCACTGCCATGGAAGTGGCCTGTAATCCTCCTCAAAACACACAAAATCCAATTTGTTGCCATTGAAACAGAAAAACTACAATTTAAAGTTTTCATTAAAGTTCAAACCCCTAGAAAGGCTTAACATCTAAAACAGATGATATGGAGGCATTTGTATGAAAACACATATTATACATGTTTTACAGAAGTACATGTGTGTATGGTTGATGCTTCTATTTGGTGAAGATGGGTCAAATAGTATTAATTTTACAAATTTGAAGATGGGTGATTTTGCTCAGAACACAAACCCTACCCTTCAAAAAAGACCAAATCCAATTTTTTGCCATTGAAACAGAAAAAACTACAATTTAAAGAAAAGTTCAAACCCCCAAAAGGCACATCTACATGATATGGAGAGGCAGTATACCAAATTTGGTGAAGATGGGTCAAATAGGTTCAGAATTTTGCTCCGGAAACGAACTTTACCTTTCAAAACGACAAAGTCCAAATTGCTGCGAAGGAAACAGAAAAAAATATAATTGAAAAATAAACTAAAACCCCCAAGAGGCACATCTATATGATATGGAGAGGCAGTATACAAATGTGAGTGTGTGAGTGAGTGAGTGAGTGAGTCTGTGAATAATTGAGTCAGGACCAGACAACCACTTTAGGTAATATTACAGCAATATCATGGTGGAGGGCACAAAAAATTGGCTAGACACACACTATGCTTATATGGGGAACATTTCTTTGACACGACAAGTGAATGCTTTACTGCCCCTAGAAGTGAAGAAAAACACTATTTGTAAATCTTGAAACTTTGAGATTTCAGTGAAGCTTTAATTGTAAACTTTGCCAATATAAATCCTGTTTGGCTCAGCAAAGAAAACTCCTGCATCTGAATCATCATCCTCTGAGTGGGACTCAACCCCTGACTAGCAGTTGCGCTGTCTACACTGACCACAATAAATGTCCAATCACTGCCTCACTCTGAATCAATAGACCTGTTAATTCTGACAAATTTAGCAGGGACTCTCACACAACACAAACATTCCCGGAAATGAAATTAGAAAAAGTTACTTGATCAGAGTGTGAGATGTTTCGACAAACAGCGACTCATCTTATCATTCATTCTTCACAGGCATTTCTCAGGAAGCTTCTGAAGCAACAGTAATCAAACCATTCATGTTTTTCTCTGTGTATGCAAACTTTCCTTTTTGAAATCTGAAGGATTAGAATTCTAAAATCCTCTTTTAACCTTCCTCATGTATAAACACAAACTTTTCAACTCATCGTTCATATATTCATCACAGTAGAACAGTCATAGAAAGGCTTCAACTGTCTTTAAAGTTTCTCGTCTAACAGCGGTGAGATCAAAATGCACAACTTGTCTGCAGCGCTTCACAATTTGATTGTCTTCCATAATCTTCCTCTGACAACATTTCTACATGATCAAGTTCAACAACACATGTGGTCCTAATTCCCCGAATATTCTTGCGATCATATGAAGAGATTTACACTTCAAATTGATATTCTCGCAAATACTCCTGGACTACATTTTTTTGGTTAAATTTGTCCGTGTTTCATACAAGCAGTACAGACCAATATCCTACTCCATAACTGTGATGAGTGATAAGTTTTACTGTTCATCCAAACACAACTTCAACTGTGATATCCTATCCTATCATTAAAAGCTGAAATAAAAGAATTGAATTTCTGGCATGAAACCAATAACTGATTTACAAGATTCCCCACATGGAGCCTGGGCATGAAGTTGAGTGAAAATATTGACAGATATATATAATGGATTGTCTCCAGTTGAGTGAAATATGGTGCTGAGTTTTATGGACAATTGCTTAAAACCTGAACGAGATTGGTCAGAATTTTGCTGAAAATTGCAAAATGAAAGCAGCATGAAAATGGAAGTCTGAGTGATGATATGTTACAAATACAGTATCAGAGGATGACTCCATGTGACTAGATAGTTGATTGGTTGTCGTTGCTTCATGCTACTTTCAGTAATATTCCAGCTATAAGGGGCCTAAAAAAGTTGTGGTTCCGATTACCCGACCGACCCTTGAATTCTGGTGCCGATCCTATTTTTCACTTGTTATATATAACCTTTGAATTTGTACAGCCACAGTATTATGTACTACTATAGTGATACCTTTATACTGATTTGTGAACTTAGTTTTAGATTTTAGATTTTAGAATACAATTGATAATTACATTTGCATTTAATTACATCACATTTCTTTCTTGTTTGTTGGTGTAACACTTAGTTCTCTTGCGGACTGATTCCTTGTTATCTTCTGGGAATCACACCAAACAAAATGTGACTACTTTAGTGGCAAAATACCAATCCTGTCAGACTGCCGACGATGAAGACCAAGACAATACTCAGCCACCATAACAGAAGGTACCGGTACATCAAGGACTGGTCGGCTCGGAGTCAGTATAATGTGTCTGAGTGGGGTATTCATGCTTCACTGCGACATGGTATCTCGGTGGGCTAGCACTATAAAACCAGCTTCAGTCTGGGCTAGTACAAGCAGTCGCACACACACATACACACGCATGCACGTCGTCATATGAGCGAAATATTCTCAAGCACAACGTAAAACCCAATTTCACCTCACCTCACCTCGAAAGCCAGTACCATCTTTTAGCTTTTATGACATTTTTTGTTTGAGTGGTGGGGTAAAGAAGGTCAGGTATGGCATGCTTATCCTTTTTACGAACACCTGGTGTTATCACATTCTTTTAGCGATGCATTCATATATTTCACAATGCTTTTTGCTTTTTACACACAATTGTTATATATATTCAAGACTGGTTTTACTGTGTTATGTTATATTCATGTAACGTTAAATCTATAAAGGGATAAAATACTACTCCCTAAAAGTTGCCCCAAAATGGGGATAGTGGAAAATGAATAAATAAAACCTTTACATGAATCAAAATATTACTAACATATAAATTGGATCTCATAAAATTAATGTCTAAAAAATATTTTCAGCGTATTCTATTCTAACTTTCCCTTTAAAAAATTGTGACAGTTTTATCTTTACAAACAATAACTTCTCAGTGTTTGCCATATTTCACTGTGGCAAATATCTCTCAATATAATTGTAGAATGTTCCCAACCAAAGGAAAAGAATATGACATTCGAATGTTGATGGGAGAAGACAGAAACTAAACAATCCGTCCATACGTCACATGACATGTAATTCCTCTTCGAGGGATTATGTTGTCTTTCACTCACAGAAATATCTTGGTTTTTAGACAATTCCTGGTCTTTTCTTTTCCTGTTCTCGTTGATTTGAATTAGACTCACAAACATAAAGAAACCTGTTTCAATTTTAACATTCTTGCCAACAGTTGACTTTTTTAGTTTGAAAATGGATGGCTTGGTATTGTCGACCACCGAGAGTTAAATCATGCACGGGATGAGAATGAATGCTTACAAGATGAGCTGTGGTTAGGATAGATGAGATTTCCATTTAATAGACACATCAACACGTCACTGTCGGGCTGATGCGAAATCAACAAGATGCCTACCTTCAATGCACAGCTATCCTGTCCAACTGAGGCTTAACTGCGGACCTCTTGGCCGATTTCTACGTCCAGGTTATTACCCACAATTCATAGTTCCATGAAACACCTGTGAAAGACAAACCTGTGTCGGTCAAAATACTGCATAAACTGTCATCTGAGAGTGTTGCGAGGGAGGGTGGGGGTCTCAAGGGGTGGGTGAGGATGTAAACACTCTCAGTGTTGATATACTGACAGATGAGATGGCATGTGGGTCTTAATGAGTGGGTGTTGTTATCAACGCTAATCAATTACAGTGCATGAAGGATGACAGATTATATAGGTGTAAATTGATGGATGAAGTGCGAGGCTGGAAAATACAGATGTGTTAAATCATCAGGTACGATATCTAAAATGCCACTCAAAGAAGTAATCATCAGGTAGGTGTGCACATCAACACCATGGCTGATATTACAGAAGTGTTTATCAGAGGAAATGAAGAAGACATTTGAAAAGTGATTTAAAAAATGTAGAGACTTCAAAGTCAGGCTATTTTTTGCAGCACTGCCGAGATAATGCAGGGAACACAAGGACCAGCTTCAACAAGTCTGGGAACTCACATAAACCTCCTTTCACAAAGCAACTTCAATGATGATCGTTCATATGCTCAACACTGGCTGGTGAAAACTGTTCTGCTGTTTACTTTACAAATCACATGAGTGAGTGAGTGAGCATGGTTTTACGTCGCTTTTTAGCAATATTCCAGCAATATCAGGGCAGGGAACACCAGAAATGGCCTTCACCCATTGTACCCATGTGGGGAATTGAACCCGGGTCTTCTCGTGGCGTGACGAAATCTTCCGCTCTCCAGAGCGAATGCTTTAACCACTAGGCTACCCCCGCCCCAACAAATCACATGAACTGAAGGAATGCAGGAAGCTGTCCCTGAGTAGGGACTGTATAAAGGCAAACACTTCATCCACTGGACTACTTTTCTAAATTAGGCATAGCATCCTGCTCTCGTATATCCATTTGGGGTTTTTGGATTGCCTAGTGGTTAATTCCCTTGTGAAACTGGAGATCTGGGTTTGATTCCTACATGGGTACACTGTGTGAAGACTAAGTCTTGGATGGCCTTGCCATGATATTGTTGGGATACTCTATAGATCACACTCACTCACACAAAGCCATTAACTTATGTTTTTAATGTTTTGTTTGTGACCATAAACATATTGAAATATTGAATATTAAAAGATTATAACTAGAGCTGGAAATAGGAAATTTGTTAAGCTGATGAGTCCAAAACAAGGCAATATTGATGCAATAAATCCAAAATTCGCAGAACATGTCAGGTACATTAACTTATGAAACTTCATTCAATATTTGTTGTAATATTACAATATTTATATTCTGTGTTCATTAGAGATCATGAGCAAATAAGTGAACTGCAGAAAATTTCAAACAAACCCAAACTGCTCAAAGCTTTGACAAGAATCCTAATCCTCTGGTTTACAGCCAAACGTGGCCAAGGCTCCCCCATTGTGAGCCTCACTGTGAGGGTGTATACATAGATTTATACCACATGGCAGAGGGTGTAGGGATGCTGCAGGTGGGGGCACACAGCAGCCACAGCACTTTCTCACACTGTTGTGTCATCTACACCACCCCCACTCAAAGCCTAATAGATATACATTACATTTCAAATCTCAACCACACTTCCATCTTGTATCAACTTTGTCATTTGTGGTATTTAATGCCAGCATGGGCTTAAATCTTGCAAAGGTACTGATAACCTTCCCTTCTGGTTCCTTACCAAGTTTTTATTTTCTTATCAATATCCTGGTTCCTTAACAAGTTTTTATTTTCTTATCAATATCCTGACACTCCTATTCCATCTCCAGACTATACAGATAATCAGCACTGTGGAACAACGTTCCACTGTTTCCAGCAAAGCATCACAGCCTGAAGTTGAACCATAGATACATCCAAAACATACAGTAAGTGCACTTCACAGGAACTGGGTTTGTGATAACCAAGAAAATATAAATGATCTATTTCTGTCGTACTGATCCAGGGTTATATTACATGAGTGCACGGAGAAGGAGTACCATTAATAAACCAGAAAGATATTGCTATCGCATCCGTAACATGCCCCCACATCAGGATGACATCATGGACAATTTATTATCATTCAAGTAAGTAATGATGTAAATATTTAGCTATTTCGTATCTATGACTAGCACTTCTGTTTATACTAAATTGGGAGAAATAGTTAGGTATGTTGTACGCCTACACATAATTCCTTTGCGCCATTTATTCGCCAGCATATTGCAACCCACGACTGCCTGCAGAGAATGCTGAGAGTTTTCTTCACATCTTGCAGATGAAACACACTTTTCTATTCCCTGGAGACAAAACTGTCCCAAAACAATTCAATCTCCCTTCACCATCATATAAACCAAAACACCTACTCCTCCCATGATCCAATGATATGCTTTGTTTTGTTGTTTAACCCTGCACTCAGCAATATTCCGGTTATATGGCGGCAGTCCGTAAATATTCGGACCAGACAATCCAGTGATCAACATCATGAGCATCAATCCACACAATTGGGATACGATAACATGTGTCAACCAAGTCTTTAAGAGCCTCTTACGACAAGCATCCAACGATATGCAGTTTCCTTGCTCCAATGAAGGCAATACAGCCTTAACACAATCAGTTTCCAAATAACATATCGATATAATTCCTTGTCAAATTATCCATCCCTTCTCCTAAAGCCTACACTCACCAGACCTTCTTCATTTTCAGAAACTGTGGAAATCTAGACTTGCAACATAATCTAGACTTGCATGGGCTTTCTTGGATATATTTGTTTCAGGGTCTGTATGGCAGACTACAGATGTACCTTCAGTACCCACCGTAAGCTCCTTTAACACTATCCATATCCTAATCACAAAATAAACACACACTGATGTACCCCCCATATATTACTCAGAGGTACAGATAAGCTGCGTATCTGCGTAAATTACGCAAATATTTATGTGAAAACTCAATTCCTATTAAGGCTATTGCGTGAATTTTTGTAAATACTCAATAGATGTGATCTTACATGCGTACACACAAAAATGTAAAATCTTAGCTTGCGTACCGGTGGATAGATAAAATAACTGAGGTATTTTGAGAGGTTCTGTTTCAGGACTTGACCTTGGCAACTTGCAGTCTTTCTTATTGTTTCCCATATCACAGATCAAATATACATAACAAACACTAACATTTAAACTTTATTACATTTTTACAATTAATGGAAAATGACAAAATACCCAATTGAGTTTGAGTGAAGTGAGTACAATTTATTTGGTTACTCAAAGGAAAATTAGGATACTCAATTGAGAGGAACACAAGCGCGTACATAACTCAATGACCCAAAAAGTTATCTGTAGCTCTGTTACCTCATACACTTTCCCCCACACACTGTCAGAGGAACACTTGATAATCTCCCTCTGCCTTCGACCACACAGGAAAACCTGATAGGACATCCTCCTTCCCTCCCAACTTAGAACAAACGAGGCTGCCATCTACAAGTGCAGCCTTGCCTATCTCTTGTCCACTACTCTGGTGTAGCCTTGCTCCAAGGCTGTACTGAGTGCTAAGCCCATGCATGTACAGTAATTCTATCCTTTAAAGAGGCAAGTCTGGATAAGCCGACTCTAGGACCCCAGTCTGTTATTTATATTTTTTTTTTAGAAATTATCATTTAAACTATTAACTATTAACTTAGAGACTTGTGCAAGTCTAGCTCTGGTGCTGCCTTCATCTGACATAAAAACTACCAAGAAGTTCCATTTTAGCTGTCCCGTACAAAATAATATGCTTCACCAATGATCTACATAATTAAAGAGGATTACCAGATAAAAAACAAGGTGTCATCACCTCCAAGGATGAAGACAACCATCTCAGATCTGCCTTGTTTACGATATGCAGCAGTATCAAATAGATACCATCTAAGCATAAAGAAGAAATAGAGAAAACATATCTGCTACTTGGTAACATGTAGAAAACACATTACACATAGCGCGCCAACATATGCACACCTTCAAATTTAACTTGTTTTACCATCTGCTATGTCAGCAACGTCAACACAGACTTACTGTTTCTAAGCAATACGGAATGCTGGAGATTATAAATACACTTGGAGCAGAAGAAGGATACTTATGGAAGATGATTTTTACAACCAGTAAATGCAACAGTGATACATTCAAAGTTGTTCTTGACAGCCAGAGTGCTTTTGTGTTTAACACTGCACTGATCTGTATGTTTGTTATTTAATGCCACACTCAGTGAGTGAGTGAGTGAGTTTAGTTTTACGCTGCAATCAGCAATATTCCAGCTATATGGCGGCGGTCTGTAAATAATCGAGTCTGGACCAGACAATCCAGTGATCAACAGCATGAGCATCGATCTGCGCAATTGGGAACCGATGACATGTGTCAACCAAGTCAGCGAACCTGACCACCCGATCCCGTTAGTCGCCTTTTATGACAAGCATAGTCGCCTTTTGTGGCAAGCATGGGTTGCTGAAAACCTATTCTACCCGGATCTTCACGGGTCCCACACTCAGTGGTACTCCAGCTAAATGATGTGAGTCTGTGAATAAGCGATGCTGGACAAGTCAATCCAGTGATTGACAATATACGCACTTATCTTAGTGATTGAATTACAGTGACAATGAAGTTAGCAAGCTTGACCACCCGATCCTATTCGTTATCAATCCCAAGCCCGGATCTTCACGCAGTATGCAACAGTGAAAATAGTCTGTCTCACAGTCCCTGAACAACATTATTTTCTCTTCTGCCTGGCACTCCCTGCAATGCTAAAGCCCTAAGTGAAGCAAATCCAGATTTCCCCAGGTTCAGGGAATCTCCTAGTCTGTTGTACAGACCCTGAAGCAAATATAGCCAAGAAAGCCCACGCTAGTCTAGAAAACGTGGCAAGTCTAGATTTCCTCAGTCTCTGAAAATGAAGAAAGTCTCAGGGCTCCTTTTCATTATATATATTTTTTTTTTACTATGAACTTTTTTCAGTAAAACATGTTCATTTCAGAGACTAGTTGTTAGTCTAGGAATCTCC